AATTACTTTACACTAAAGTCTAGTCAATCTTCATATTAAGATTTTCATCATGAGTTAATCTTCACACGTGTGTCTTCACTAGCTGCAAAAGGGCCTCAGTTAGTGCATGGCCACGGAACCAGGGCTTCGGCTAACAATGATGGCCTCGTAATAAGGGGTCTCGGTTAACAATGATGGCCTCAGAATAATGCCTGGGAATAAAGGGCCTCTGATGGTTGGGCCTCGGAATATACATCCTGGTTCAATTGGGCTAGTCCCACCGTCCAAATATGGTGCCACGTGGTGCTTCTATTTATGAGTCGTAACAATAGTCCCCCAAATCCATGTATAATTATTCATGTTATGCGTGGACTTTTAGTAGTCAACGAAGTACCCTCCTTGGGTATCACAAAAACTTTAAAATTTCTAATCCACAATAACCATTTCCTCTAAAACCATAATTAGTTAAAGAAAAGAAACACTTGTTCATTTATATGTTAGTAATCTAGATAATTATTGAATACACGTTGAACGTATTAGATCTAAAGCGTATATATTCATTTATAGATAGACGAATTTGACGTAGGATTTATGTATACACAAGAATAGAAAAATGCCAGATACGAGTATAAGTAGAAGTCTTAAGCTTGTAGTAAAAGGGCGAAAATTGTGAGAAACAATAGAACAAATTGGTCATGAATGAAACAGAAAAGTTGTGAGAGTACGTGGAGTGCATTGGAATTTAGTTCCAGGTAAATTGATGGGAGAAACTCTAAATCCATAAATCAAACCCTTAAATAATACATCAAGGTTATCCAAAACAGGGCCAGACTCAAAGCTGGCAAAATACTTGCCAATATTTTCAAATGTTACCTGCAATAAATAAAGAGTGATGTTGAGATTTTTCGAAATTTAATTTTATTGTATTCTTACGAATCAATAGAAAGTCAAAAGGTTGCTCGTGTTTGTTAACGTGTTCATTTGTCTTTATACACACTTCTTGAAGTTATTTAGGGGTTGCTCTCTTTGTATTTCAATTTTGTGTTTTGAATTTTAAATTCATTTTGGGTTTTGTGATAGTTGAAAATGTGTTATTTTTAGTATTTTGAAAACACCCAAAACACGTTTTGAAAATTTTGACTTGATTATAACAGAAAACAAACAAAACGACAAATTTGTCGTTTTGAGTTTTAATTGTAAATTTTTAACTTGTTTTCAAAAACGCATTTTCCAAAATAGGAAAAGGGACGCGTTTTCACTATTTTGAAAAATCGAAAATAGAAAACGGCTTAAAAATAGTAAAGAGAACAGACCCTTAGGCTCTTTTAGTTTTCGGAACATTTTCTTTCTTTCTTTATTTTATTTTATTTTTTTTTTTGTGAAAAAGAAAAATGATTCGATTTCTTGAACTAAACAGATGAATTATACCTTCTTGGCTTCCTTAAACATGGTAACTCTACCTTTCTTAACCCACGACTGGAGGGCAGTGGTTACTCGGGGTTGGATAGCAAGAGTGATCCTTCGGAGAGAGTCAGGCCGATTGATAGCCTTTACTACAAAGCTTCTAACCCTAATATGTGAATCTCCATCCACTGCTACAAGGGAAGTTGTTCCCACAATTTCATTATGCCATCCCGAGGAAAAATTATTAGCATCTTGGAGTACAAATTTGTTAGCCGATGGAGTGCACACTATGATGGATGGTGAACCAAAGAGGTGTGTTCTGTACAGTCCCACTCCATCACCATACCTATTCATCAAAAAAAGAACAGTACAACCATCAATTATTTTGCACAATCATTCTTCAAATCTCAAAGAGGTTGAAGAAATTGTGCAAGCTTAAGGCCTTTCATAGAATTGAATCCGGTCAAAATACGAATATGTCCAAGACACACACACACACACACACAAAAGAATTATGACAGATTGAGCTTTGGAATGAGGTGGTTTAACATAAGAAATTCTTACTTGTGACGTATAGAATTGATGTAGTCATCGGGGTGGCGAGCAATCTTGAAATACCACAGAAATGAGAGTAATTCTCCAAGAAATGGAATTCCCATGTAGCCTGGAGGGAGCTTTGTGCCACTGGCCGAGCACCGGCGCATTACCAGCATTGCATACCAAATATCATTCCACCACCACAGCAGCAACCATATTAAGGGTGCGATTCTTAATATCCATATGCTAAACATCACTTCCATCTTCTACAATTAGTATGGTCTTATGCTATTCACAGCTATATATATATGTACACGATGCTTGTAAGATATCTGAGAGATTATTCTTTCCGAATTGCGAACACAGGACAAAACATTTCTACATTCTGTTGCTTCAAAAGATACTCGAGAGATTATTCTTTCCAAATTGTGAACACCAGGACAAAACTATTCTGCATCAGCATTATAAATTTTTTTTATGATTTGCCCCAGATATGATAATGTTAGAGACAAAGTTCCCACATAGGAATAATCGCCAGCTACCTCAGAAGCATCAATGATGATTGGTTGCATACTAAGATATTGATCTTGATATATGAGATATACTAATATATTCACAATAGATTATATTCTGTTAAATTTATTATTTTGAGGATAAATTAGGTATCAAATACAGGCCGTACCTGAGATTTTCAAGCCCGAGAGGATATATTTAGAGCTTGTTTGGTAGGGATTTTTGGGGGAAGAATTGATTTTTGAATAGTGATATGATGGGAAATGTGTAGTTGAAAAAGAAGAAAAAATTATTGATGTGATAGAAAATATTATTTTATTGAAAAATGTGTGGTTAAAAATGAGAATTGATTTACTGTAGAATTTGAGAATCTCTCCCAAACACTCCCTTAGTTGAGACTTTTAGTCCCTGTTTGGTGAAAATTAAAATTAAATTTTTAATAGATTTTGAAATAGACTAAACTTATACTCTTGAATATGTAATCTTCCCTTTATTTAATCGAGGCTTTTAGCTCCTGTTTGGTGAAAATTAAAGTTGGATTTTTAGTAAATTTTGATACAAATTGATAAGATGTGTGGTTGAAAAGTTGTAGATCCCATAAAATGTGGATTAAAATTAGTTGTTGATTTTGACTCAAATTAAAATCGAACAGGGATTTAAAGACTATTGTAGATTTTTAAATGGTGGACTTTTGTGAAATTCATTGACTCTTATGGATTTGTGTGAAATTAATGGAAGTATTTAATAAACTTATTTCAACTTTCATTTTAAAACTTTTATAGACTTTTGCAGAATTAATAGAACTTTTGAAAATTTTAAAGAATTGATGTAGGTCTAGTGCAACAGTGTGAAGTTCTCACATAGGAGGTGGTCAATTGATCCCCATAATTCCCTTTCCCCCTGCATGTAATAAAAAAATATTTTCAAAAAATTAAATCACCTTAATTGAATAAATAAATAGTCACAATATAGCCATTACTTACTTTATTCAAATACTTTATTATGCAAAACATAAAAGTTTGTCAATTTTGAGTTACAAGTACATAAAAAAGAATAAAAATGGCATAAAAATTGAAAACATTTAATTAAAAAATTAATTTTTGATTAAAATAAATTGAAAGAATCGAAACAAATTATGAAAATAAATGGAAATCAAAGTTATCTATATCCATAAATTCAAAAATAAAGTAAACAAACTTAAAAATTTTCATTCTCGATATATAATGAATAAAAAATTATATTAAATACGTGTTAAGTGAAGACATTCAATTATATTTTTATCGTAAAAAAATATACCTTGCAGATATTAAAAAAAAAAAAAAAAAATTCAATTTCTACTATATTACTAAATTATAATCAAAGTCGCGATATGTCGATTAAATTGTGCTCTGTTAGATTACATAATTGAATAATATCTAGTTGCTTGTTACATATGATAATGTGATTGATCATTGAATCTGATTATTAAATTGGCTTGTTATCCTTGACTAGCGTAACTTCACATTTCATCAGTGATATCATAAAATTATTATGATTATTGATCACTGATAATTGAATTTGATATCGCTTGTTTATCAATTCTCGCGGACCTTTTATATGATTTATTGTTATTTGTTAAAATTTTGTGTATTCTCACTTTTGATTTCGACAACCTCCGTTTGTTATGAATCTATTACAATATGTCTCGGAATAATATCTCTCAGATTGTGTATATTACAATGAATAAAATGAGTCACATTTATAGGGAAAAAAATGAAAACCTAATTAAAATGGAATTAAACCTTAAAAGATATCATAAAAGAGTTTTAACTAAATTAGAAGTCCAGGTGAAATTTGAAAAATCGTGCCCCAATTTACTATTATGCGGCCGCATAGGTGTATAGTTTGTGGTAGCATAGGCCTTTCATCAGCCTTCAGTTTGGTTTTGGTATGGGGGCATGCGGCATATATTATCCGGTCGCATAGCTGCTCCTTTTAGCTCCGTCGTCTGTTGCTTCATCCCTCTTCCATGCCCAATATGAAGCTTGTCTTTTTGCTTGTTGTAGTCGATGTTTCATGTTAGCTTGAGCAAGTAATCACATAGTTTCCTCGACCTTCTTTGCTCGTGATCTGGTCATTGATCCTTATTTCACAATCGCATCCGTATCATAGTCCTCATCAGAAGTGGTGGGTTCAATTCTTTTTTCTCAGCCTGTGACTGCCTGTCAATTGCAAGCTACCAAAGTTCCCCCATTGTCAATGTAATCCACAGTATAACTGGACGAAATAGAAAATCAGCATGGCTTGCCGGACATGATCTTAACAAGAACAGGCTTGATTACTACTATTACATCATTGCTACTCTAGGAGCCATCAACTCGATATATTTCACTTCCTTTGCAAGCAATTATGTTCCTTACGGAAAAGTTATAAAAGTTGCGGAAGAATCAAAGATAGCAACTCAATAAATCAATTAGAGGCTAGAGAAATTCCACTAAATGAGATGATGCAGGACGAGGAGAGAGGATTAGACATAAGTGCTTCTAATCAGGGGTGGGCTGGGGTGGACTATAGCCCTACCCTGCCCTACGCAAAAGCAATTTTTTTTAAAAAAATATTTGATTAATTTGGTTTAAATATTTGGTTAATTGTGATCATTTCAATTTTACACTTGGATTGTAAATAAAATTAATTGGGCTAAAANAATTTTATTCTTTTTAGTTTTTCACCATGAAGTTGCTTCTGAAATGATGTTATTATCAAAATAAGTAAAATGCTATATATTTAATTTTATTAATTTAAAAACATATTTGTTAGAACATTGTTACGAGTGTTCAAAAACATATTGTGACCAGTGATTTAAATTTATAGAAAATGATATATAACATTAATATATTAAAAATCAAGTGTGATTTAAGTTAAATTTGAAAATTAAATAAATGAAAGGATGAAAGTGAATGTTACAATTTAATTAGTTTGGATTCAAAATCAAATTAGTCTATTAGACATACATTTGGAAAATGATTTTTGATGAACATTTTAATATTTTTTTATTATGTCACTATCCCACATTAGAAGTTTATGAAACCATTGGAGAGAAGAGCGTCTATAAAAGACATTATCTTACATTAGAAATTTATGAAACTATTTGAGATAAGTGCATCTATAATATGAGCATGACATTCAATAGTTTTCTATGGGCCTTTGAATTATAATCTATGAGGTTCATTCATGAAGTTAAAGTTTTTTAAACTAAAAAAAGAAAAAAAAATCAAAAAAAACCACCAAACTGCGACTAGTTCATCGGTTTACGGTTGAACCAGCCCGTTTAGTGGGGTTTGAGCGGTTTTGTCATAATGAGTTAGTTGGGCATGATTTTACCCGATTTTGGATCCAATTTTTGTTTTATCATATGGTTTAGAACATCTTTTAGTGTACAAGTTCATTAAAAAAAATTTCAGCACAGCCTAATATATTTTCTGGCTCCGCCCCTGCTTCTAATGATTTGCCCAAATGTGTAGAAAACTTATACGTGGACGTGAGTGGAGTCGTGAATTATTGGCCACGTCAAGCGTATATGATTATCTACCTCTTCTTTTTGTGTTAGTGCTTGTTTGGCTAGGCTTTCGATTAAAAATAATTTATTGGTTGAATAAAATTTAAAAAAAAATTACTTAGTTTAAAGAAATTTCTATACTTTAATGTTAAAATAAATAATGTTTTTATACTTTTTGGTAAAATTCACCTAAAACGGGTTTATAAGGGGAACCGAGCTTGGCTTACAGAGGTTGGGGTTCACAGAACCCCCACAGATCACTCACAAGGCGTGGGGTCGACAAATTTTTTATCCATTTTTTGAATGAGCTAGGTTCCACATGGGACCCACCTCATGTGAGAGGTGGTAGAAGTTCTGTAAACCCATTTTCTGTACATTTGACTTAACTCTTATAAGGGAAGGGTACCAAGGTGCTTATAAAGCTATAAGACAACTTTTTACTAGCAATGTAAGACACATTAAGATTGTTACAACCCACCAAATTGTCACGGGTTAATTTTGTATTCTCAACTTTACCGTTAAAAATGTCCCTTTTGAGGCTGGGGATATTATATTAAAAGCGTGTTTGGGAGCAATTTTGTGGGATTTTAATCAAAATTATAGCCGTTATAGTCAATCTGTGGACCCCACTTGTGAGAGAGAAAGTTAAAAATGATGGCTGATTTGATAGTTAAAGGCTAGAATTTTGATTAAAATCTTGATTAAAATTTCTTCCAAACAAAGCCTAAAGAACATCCTTGAATCCTTACCGTTGTGGGGTTCCTGGATAAGGCCCAAAGCTGATTGCCCCGTTTGGCCTCCATTATTCTCCTTTAAATTATAATTTATTTTTTTGTTTCTTTTTATCAACTACACATTCTCCAATAAAATAATATTACACGTAAATTCAAAAATATATATATATTTTTTTAACCATATATTCTCCAAAAAAATATATTCTTCTCATTTTAATTTGGAATAAAGGGGCCAAACGNTAAAAAGTGGAAAATGGCAAAAAGTTTTTCATCTTCCAAGGAAAACTTGCCCTACCAAACATGGCCTTATAGATTTGTGTAAAATTAATGGAAGTATTTAGTAAACTTCTGCAAAATTAATAGGACTTTCAAAAATTTTAAAGGATTCATGCAGGTCTAGGACAATAGTGTGAAGTTCTCACATAGGAGGTGGTCAATCAATCCCCATAATTCCCTTTCCCCTCTACATGTAATAAAAAAATATTTTTAAAAAAATAAATCACCTTAATTGAATAAATAAATAATCACAATATAGCCATTGTTTGGTGAGAATTAAATTTATTTTTTACTAGATTTTAATAAAAGATGATGAAATATGTGGTTAAAAAGTTGTGGATCCCATAAAATATGTTGTTGAAATTAATTGTTGATTTTAATTTTGATTAAAATCTTGATTATAATCCCCAACAAATAGGAGCATAATATATAAATTGTATTTCTTTGATAAAAAATATTTGATGTTTAGAATTATCAATATATTATACCTTTAAAGAGTAAACAATAAATCAATATATTTAAATTTAATTATAAATTAGTATTTTAAAAATCTTATTACAAATTAATATTCTTTATAAAAAAATTGGATGAAAAAAAAATGTTATAAGAATTTTTATAAAACAAATATAATCGGTAGAAAAACAATGTTTTATGGATATATACCAAACAACATAAAAACTATTTTTATGAGTTAGATTTAGGATTTAGTAGCTCACAAAAGCCAAGTGTCTTAATGCCTACTACAGATCGAAGAGAGAGACCGCTCATAAAAATAATAAAATTACTTACTTTATTCAAATACTTTATTATGCAAAACATAAGAGTTTGTCAAGTTTGAGTTACAAGTACATAAAAAAGAATAAAAATGGCATAAAAATTGAAAACATTTAATTAAAAAACATAATTAGAGGCTAGAGATATTCCACTAAATAAAAGAACCAAAGATAGCAACTCAATAAATCAATTAGAGGCTAGAGATATTCCACTAAATGAGATGATGCAGGATTAGACATAAGTGCTCCCAATGATTTGTCCAAATGTGTAGAAAACTTACACGTGGACGTGAGTGGAGTCGTGAATTATTGGTCACGTCAAGCGTACATGATTACCTACCTCTTATTTTTATGTTAGTGCTTGTTTGGCTGGCTTTCAATTAAAAATAATTTATTGGTGGAACAAAATTAAAAATAAATAAATAAATAAATAAATAAATTACTTAGTTTAAAGCAATTTCTATACTTTAATGTTAAAATAAGTAATGTTTTTATACTTTTTTGTAAAATTCACCTAAAACATGTTTATAAGGGAAGGGTACCAAGGTGCTTATAAAGCTATAAGACAACTTTTTACTAGCGATGTAAGACACATTTAGATTGTTACAACCCACCAAATTGTCACAGGTTAATTTTGCATTCTGACTTACCCGTTTGGCTCCCATTATTTCCCATTAAATTATAATTAATTTTTCTCTCTCTTTTTATCAATCACGCATTCTCCAATAAAATAATATTACACATAAATTCAAAAATATTTCCTTTTTTTTAACCACACATTCTTCAAAAAAGTAATATTCTTCTCATGTTAATTTAGAATAATGGGAGCCAAACGGGGGCTTGTTGCTCTTTATTTCAACCCTGTTTTGTCCAATTATAGCTCATGTTTGAGCCAAATTATTGTAGAATGAGAATGAAAAATATAGCAGTTATTATGGCCCACACAAGAGATATAAAATTTGAATTTAAACGTTGATATAATGAATAACGATCATATTTTTTATTTTAATGAGATAAAAAGGTGGCTCAAACGGGGTCATAATTTTTGAAATAGTATTTTTTTGAAAAATGTATGATTAAAAAAGATTGATTTATAGATAATATTATTTTATGAAAATTTGTGTCATTGATTTATAGATAATATTATTTTAAGGTAACGGAGCCAAAAAGATTTGTCAGTTACTTACCTAACTTGAAAAAGACTTGCAAAGACTGACGAGAGTCGTTCTTTATTATTTTTCCAATGACCAAACTTGGCATTGACTTTCGATACGAGAAGACTTGCGAAGACTGCAAATATTATTGAAATCGACGAGGTCACGCGCATTCTTAATTACAACTTCGTCTCGTTCATTGTAACTTGTAAACTTGAAAAAGTGAAAATGGCAGAATGTGCGGTTACATATCTTCTAGACAGGCTTACAATCATATGGGAGCAAAAGGTGAGAGAGCTTAAGGGAGTGAAGGAGGGAATAGAAAACATTAAAGATGAATTGGAACGGATGACAGCATTTCTCAGAGTTGCTGATGCAATGGAAGATACTGACATGGAGCTCAAAGTTTGGGTTAAGCAAGTACGAGACATCGCATATGATACTGAAGATGTTCTTGACAAATTTATATTCTTCCACTTGACACGAAGTAGTCAGGATTCCATGGCCAATGTTTATGTTTATAAGTTATTCGGCTGGATTTCGAAATTAAGGTTCAATAATGGGATTGCTTCTGATATTGAGGACATTAGATATCGGGTGAGGGGCATAGCAGAACGACATCAGAGATATCGATACAAGTTCAATAATACCTTAAATCAGCAAGGCATGAATCCAGTTGCTGTCAACAGCCTGGCATATGATCGGAGAGGAGATGCGCTTTTAATGGAAGAATCTGAGCTTGTAGGCATCAAGAGCCGGAAAAACGTGCTGATGGGATTGCTCGTGGAGGGTGGTTCGAGATTCGGTGTGATTTCAGTGGCTGGAATGGGAGGTTTGGGGAAAACAACCCTTGTAAAGAAAGTTTACGACGATCCAGCAGTGAAGAGGAACTTCCAAAGCCACGCTTGGATAACCGTCTCTCAGTTATTCAAGATCGACGAGCTCCTCAAGGACACAATAAAGCAACTCTTTGAGGAAATCAAGCAAGCAGTCCCTCAAGGAATCAACACTATGAACAGTAATCAGCTGAAGGAAGTCATTAAACAGTTCTTGCAGGGAAGGAGGTATGTACTTGTGTTTGATGATGTCTGGAGCATTCAAGCGTGGAATGCCGTTAAATATATGTTGCCTAACAACTCTTATGGAAGTCGTGTCATTATAACAACGCGTCTTACTTCCGTAGCTTCCCATGCTAGTATGGGAACTGTTGGGAATGTATATATGTTGAATCCCCTTAGTCAAGAGGAATCATGGACTCTGTTTTGTCGAAAGACATTTCGATTGAGCTCGTGCCCTCCATATTTGATGGAAATTTCGCACAAAATCTTAAAGAGGTGTGCGGGCCTGCCGCTTGCTATCATGTCTATCAGTGGGGTTTTGGCTACGAAGAGCAACAGATATGATGATTGGGTGATGCTTAATAACAGTCTTGGAGCAGAATTGGAAGACAACGACACGCTAGAGAGTTTGAGACTGATCTTGTTGCTTAGCTTCAACGATTTGCCTTATTATCTAAAATCTTGTTTCTTATACTTAAGCATATATCCAGAGGATCATTTGATAGTCCAGAATTCCTTGATTCGGCAGTGGATAATGGAAGGTTTTGTGAAACCTAAAGAAGGAAGAACGCTGGAAGAAGTTGCAGAAGGCTACCTAAATGAGCTTGTCAATAGAAACATGATCCTCATTGTGAGGTATAACGACGATGGAAGTGTAAAACATTGCCGCATCCACGACTTTCTCCGGGAGATGCTTGTATCGAAATCAAGAGACCAAAGTTTCGTGATGACAGCAAACGAGCAAACCAGAGATTGGATCCACAAACTTCGTCGCTTATCAATCCATGGTTCTTGGGCTAAAACTCAACCTCAAAGGTGTGGTGCTCAACTTCGTTCTTTACTTGCATTCAGTGCTACTGACTCGGAATCCATGTCGTCAATGCATGAACTGCTCAATGGCTCTAGAATGCTCAAAGTTTTGGATATGTCAGGATCCCCTTTAGAATCATTCCCAAAGCCAATCACCAAACTCCTTCATTTGAAGTATCTAAGGTTGAGACATACAAAGATTAAATCACTTCCAAGATCAATCAGAAATCTCCGAATGCTAGAGACGTTAGATCTTAAGCACTCTCTCGTCACAGAGATACCCAGAGAGATCTTAGAACTTCAAAATCTGAGGCATATCATTGTATATCATTCTGTAGAATACTCGTACCTTCCTTTCGATTTTACACTAGGTTTCAAGCCACCAAAGGGAATGGGAGCTCTAACATCCTTGCACCAACTCTCATTTGTTGATGTGTCCCCTGGCACTGGCATATTAGAAGAGCTAGGGAAGATGAAGGAACTGAGAAGGCTTTGCATACTCAAATTGAGAACAGATGATGGAATGGCCCTCTGTTCATCCATCGAAAACCTCCAAAATCTTCGCACATTAAACATATCTACAACAGCAGAGGATGAGATTCTTGATCTGCATCAAATGTCTTCTCCCCCTTTGTCCATGCAGCGGCTCTATTTAACGGGGCGTTTGGAAAAATTTCCACACTGGATACAATCTCTCAGAAGCTTGGTTAAAGTTTATTTCAGGTGGAGTCGGTTAAGGGAAGACCCACTCGAGTATCTCCAAGACTTGCCAAACTTAGTCCATCTCGAGTTTCTTGTGGGCTATGTTGGAGAGGAACTGCGTTTCAAGGCAGGAAAGTTTCAAAGGCTTAGACTGTTAGATCTGGACAAGTTGGAACCTCTTAGAGAGGTAATAGTTGAGGATGGAGCAATGCCTCATCTGGAAAAGTTAATTCTTCAGCGATGCAACTTTCTAGAAAGCGCTCCAACTGGAATTGAACACCTTATCAATATGAAAGTTCTTGAATTTTTCGATATGCCAGATGAATTTATTCTGAAGCTGCATGGAGAATACCATAAAATTGCACACATTCCTCAAGTATATCACACTTATTGGAGGGATGGTGTCTGGGAATCCTATCCATTGGATGACAACCAAGAAAAGGAGAACTTTGGTAGGCCAAGAACTGCAATTAGGACCTACAATCAGCGTAATTCACTGTAATTCAAGCTATTGGTGCCTCAACGTAGCGCGTCCCTGAACCCCTGGCACCTGATTCTTCTATCCTACTGTTCCAACATGTGAGTTTTCGTCTCCTCCAGGTGTATGGTGCTTTTAAGTTTTGTAATCTCTATATTCTGTATGATTGTAATCTGCATATTGTAGATTCTCGACCTAAAACAGACTAGAAAGTTGAGTTGGCATTCAGCCGGAATCTGGTCTGGTTGTTTCTTTTTGTAATGCCATTACAGTGTTTGCTTAGGGTTTTTTTTCCTTTTGTCAACTTGTATTTGTAATCAAACATTTCTTCAGAGTGGATTGAGGGTTTCTCTTGTAGCTGTGCGTAGATTCACAGGTTGTGAATCAAACCGGAGTTGTGTTCTTGATTGATTCTTCCGCACTCATTCATTTCTTCCTTCACTTTTAAGGCTGCTGGTGCAAGATTTATGACATTGATATCAGTGTTTTGAGGTTTAGATGCTAGAAACAGATCATCATGATGAGCAACAAGAAATCTCGAAGATGGCCGACGAAGAACTAATTTTAATTCTCTATGATAAACAGCCGAGAGATGTGACCAAGATGAAAACTGCAATAAAAATATAGCTGCAATTAGAGAGCCTCTACATGACGATGACTCTATCCAGCAGACTGGGAAAGAGAACTATAACTCATAATAAGGGCACCCCCTATTTCTAGTATTAGAAAACAAGAAATAGGAACAGTTACCTTAGATTGGCCATAGGACTAAGAATAAGACAACACTGTAGTGTCTACCTGAAATAATGTTAATATTTTTTTTTTTACCACATCCAGGATGATAGTACAGCATGATGGCACAGAGAAGAACGAGTTAAAAGGATGCTGGCTTAAGCATTTAATCGAGTTAAGTATTTATTGGCATGATTTCCTAAACATGTTAAGAAGAAGTTTTTTAATCGCTCAAATGAAAATATTCCACTTGAATGAAAGTTTTGTTTTCGTTATATAATAGAATTGTTTTCTTATCGAGTCACGTTCATACAATCAGTAATCATTTGTTTATTACGTCTATCGTGCTACTCTCTTGTGCTCTCATTGTGTGAAGCCAATTGATATTTTTGTGGATGAATTGTGTCATATGCTACTTTTCGAAATTTGTTGTCGGTACTTAATCAAAGAAAAAGATCATTTCTTTTCATATGAGTTTAGCCATATGTTTTTGTCAAGAATTCAATACCGATACATGGTCAAGACAAAAGATCGCCCATGTGAAGAATGCAGTTGCAATCTATCTCGTTGGAGTCAAATTCTCTTAGTCGGGGAGAAATGATGAGAATCTAATAGATATATTATTTAATTTACTTTTCAAATTAGATAATTATTTTAGAAATTTTAATTATTGTCTTACTTAATGGATTTTCTATTATTTTATTACTTGTTCACTTTTCAAATAATTTACTTATTTCAAGAAACTAATAAGATTTTATTTAATAGATTTTTCAATATTTTTCTACTTAAATTAGGCTAGTATATAAATGACTTGTGCATTATAATAGTTAGACTTTTATATTAAATATATATTGATATTTTTCTTCCTCTAATTTTTTTTTTTTTTTTTTTGAGCTCAACGCCATGTATTAGCATACGAAATAAGCTATTTAAGTGGCCGTGCAAGATTGTAGACAAATACAATACATCGAATCTAACGTGCTAACGTCTACAATTATTTTACCTATATTTAACCTTTTTCCATCTATGCTCCAATAATATTTTTGAGTTGGAGGCATAGAAGGACACTTATCCTTCGCTTGAAAGAAATGGATTCGTGAACACGAATTCAATTAATGATATGCAAATGAAGGGTCTTCGGCGACGCCTCCTCCCGAACGAGACGAGAATTACCCGCTAAGTCGAGTATTCGGGTAGGGGAACAAGGCGGGTAGGGGTAACAAGGGCATCACCCTTTTTATTTATTATTATTATTATTTTGAAAGAATTCAATACTTATAATGAAAAAATCCATGAAATTGCATTCGTTTTAATAGACGACGGCAACTAAAATTCTCTAAAGAATATGACAAATAATAAAAGTCTTAATTTACTGAATAAATTAACTTTTAAAAATTAATAAATATATTATTGTCTCACTTTAATGAATTGGGACAATAAAATGAATCATTAAAAATTGAATTATAAAAGAAAAAAAAATTAAGCCCCTATTTGATGCACATTTTTGCTTTGAAATTTTTTTTTTTTATGTGATGGGGAATATGTAGTTGAAAAAGAATGAAAAATTATTGATGTGATGAAAAATATTATTTTATTAAAAAATGTATGATTGAATATGAGTAGAAAAATGAAAATAAACGAGGTAGGAGCCATGTCTCACCCCACCTTAAATGGGGTAACGAGGCGAGAAACTACCCTCGTAGGTATGGCTGTTCATGGATCGGTTTGGTGCAGTTCTGAAGAGAACCGAACCGACCCAAAACTTTCA